TTAAAAGGAATACACAATCAAAAGCAAAAACAATTTATTTGCTTACTTACTTTATTCATTTATTTTATTTATTTACTTACTTATTTGTTTACTTTTGTTTATTTAATTAATTAATTTATTTACGCCAAATAATCTGATTCCAGAAAAGAAATGGGAGAATCCTGAAGAAACAAACACATTTGAAAATACAAGCGAATATTGTTATTGCTCGAACAATAACCAACCCTATTGATTTCACATATTTTCAAAATCCACTCTGTCAATTTTGCATGCAAAATTTACCATAAAATTTGAAAAACAGCCAAGAGCTGGACACCACTGCACTTGGATGTAAAAGAAACATAATGCCAAAGCGCGAATTTCGCAAAGTAGAAAAACATCGAAGTCTTTAATTACGACCTGGTATCAAGAGGATCGCAAATGGAACCATGCTTTGCATTTGGACAAATGTATTTTGCCATCTGTCACTCCAACAACCGAATTTTCAAAGGATTTATAGGGCCTTTTTCGTACGCCTAAACTTTTTACTTATATCTTTAATATATAGATACAGTAGGAATCTTGTCTATAGAGAACAAAAGCTCATTCATTGTAAAAAATCGGCTAGACAAGGCCTCTTTGAGTGAAATTCAATTCAGATATACATATATATATGGACAATTAAATTTAAATTTAGCATGCATGTAAGCACAAATCTAAGTACCTTCGTTGAACTTCCATAAGGCTTACAAGAAAAAATATACAGTATATTGGCAATATAATAAATTAATATTTAAACAAACTATTTCAAAATGATTTTTACCAAATCCTCAAAGTCAGAAGTTAATGTGATGTACTGGACTTTCCTCTGCATGGCCATGGATTCCTTGCAGTTTGACAAGGAAGACATTCATGCAACATAAACTACGTCATTAGCTTCCCCCTACTTCGGCTTACCCCATCAAAGTGTAAAACAGAACTGGAATATTTAATACCTAAATTAAAAAATTAAGTTCTAAGTGGCAAAAAATAAATTTTAATTTTAAAGGCCTCACATGAGAAAATCATTCGTTAAAAAACTAAATCGACACAAACGACATCTTTAAACTATAATGATCAACATTAATGCAATAAAAATTCACAGTATGAATAATTTCACAACTTGAAATCTGTAAATATAGTGTGTAAAATAACAAAAAACTCGATGATAAATTCTCTCATTGAATGCATTGTGATGCAGTGACATAATTAATGACATTTTGCTCTTCCTGATGAATTAGACCATTGGCATATTGTTCCGGCATCAAACGACTGTCACGAGTATGATTTCCATCCTGATTCTCTGCACAATAACTAACAATCATGGGAACTTCTTCGCCAACGTCACCTGCAAAAGCCAAAAGAAAAGATCAGCATTCATGAATTTTCTTGAGATTTCGGCAAATTTATAGGTTGGATCGTTTTGCAGACGTAATCTCAATATAGCAGTTCGAAGAGAAATGTTGTAAACAAAAAGATTTGCTTATTTTCAGGATACATTAACGCCTAGTTACGCCGTTTGATTTGATTTTAGTATTGTTTTAAACGAAAAATATCACTGAAAGAAATATGGTATAAAACTGAAGAAAGTTGTGACAAACTAACGTTGCTGAAGCTGTGCTACTTGCATATTAGTTGAATTATTATCATAATCAGGTGGAATACAGGGTGAGCCGTGAAGCAACACTTCGTCACATTCCAAGCGAACTAGAATTGCAGAAGCAATGATGAGTTCTCGAATAGGTTATCATTAAATCCAAAAAATTTTTGAATAATCTCATACGAATCAATGTGTCAATCATATTAGCCAGAATTTCCAAATAATCATGTTTGTCAACACAGTTATTCATACAATTTGTCATGTTATTTCTTGATAAAGCAGTCAAGAAACTTATACCTTGCGATGGAGTCTCATCCGGATTTACTGCAACCGCTAACCTATCTACATCTGTCCCACGTTCCTGATCCATCGTTGCATCGTTATCTGAGATCACACACGATGAGAAACTTAGAAACAAGTAAAATTAATAAATTTAAGCTTTGGTC